CTGCTGCAGTGAGAGGGGACTGGTGCAGTGAAAGAGGGTTGTCCCCTCTCCATGGGGCAGCCTGCATACTGAACCCCTCATTCCCAGCCCCACCCCAGAACAATGATTTTAAATGAAGAAACACAAATGATTTGAGTTAAGGCATACAGAAAAGAGACAGACTCACCAGGCAGGTGAAAGAGGGTGGCTCAGGGCGCACCCCTCCCCCCACAGAATGTTGTGTGGCTCAAGTCTTATTATGAAAAATCTCTACTGGCTTCTTTCCCACATACAATTGTGTGAGGAAATATCCTTGGAAATTAAAATCAAAAGATAACTTTATACCAGGTGTAACTCCACCTGGATAAGTGTAAAGTAATGCACATCGGGAAAAATAACCCCAACTACACGTACAGTATGATGGGGGCTAATTTGGCTACGGCAAATCAGGAAAGAGATCTTGGAGTTATCGTGGACAGTTCTCTGAAAACTTCCACACAGTGTGCAGCGGCAGTCAAAAAGGCAAATAGGATGCTAGGAATTATTAAGAAAGGGATAGAAAATAAGAGGACAGGGAAAGGTGCAAAGACACCCAATAAATAATGTCCACACAGGGAAGAACCCATGAGACAAGTCAATTACTTTACAGGGGGGTTTTGCGCAAAAATGGAGCCTAATTAAGTATGCAAATGAGGAACAGTGATATTCCACAATTTGCCTAATTTGCGTATTTTTTGTGCAAAATGGTGGCAGTATAGACATAGCCCTTATGTCTACTGTGGGTGGGCATAATACTGCAACTTTGTCTGAATCCTGTGCAGGTCACAAATGAGTGTATAGACTCAGTATCCACTCAGCAATCCTGTTAGCATTTTTAGGGTAGCAGGTTTAAAACTAATAAAAGAAAGTTCTTCTTCACACAGCATGTAGTCAACCTGTGGAACTCCTTGCCAGAGGAGGCTGTGAAGGCTAGGACTATAATAGAGTTTAAAGAGAAGCTAGATAATTTCATGGAGATTAGGTCCATAAAAGGCTATTAGGCTTGGTGTCCTTGGCCTCTGTTTGTCAAAGGCTGGAGAGGGATGGCAGGAGACAAATCGCTTGATCATTGTCTTCGGTCCACCCTCTCTGGTGCACCTGGTTTTGGCCAGTCGGCAGACAGGATACTGGGCTAGATGGACCTTTGGTCTGACCCAGTACAGCCGTTCTTATGTTATGTATGTTCACTGAAGTTCATGGAGTTGCAAAAGGGGATGAATCTGGCTCTAAGACAGGGGTGGGCAATAGAACAGCACAGGTTCGCCAGGGGTAGCCCCTGGTGGGCTGCTGCCACTATATTTATCTGCACCTCCACATGTATGGGCG